GCCAGCCGCTCAGACGAGCGCGGGCTCGAGGCTGCCGTAGGCGGAGCTCTCGGTGCGGTAGGCTTGCGGCACGCTGTAGATGCCCGGCACAGGCTTCCAGTGGGGGCCGCTCCAGGGCAGCTCCAGGGGACAGAAGCGGTCAAGCCGACGGAGCGGGTGCAGCGGGGGGCTGTAGGACTCCTGAACCAGAGACAGCGCCCCGCGGTGCGGCACAGCTGGGGTCACTGGGCGGGCTCGGGGCACGCGGATCCGCGGAGGCTGGGGCAGCCGAGAGGACCGCGGACAGGGCGGCTGCTGGGGGCAGTGGCCCCAGGCTTTGGGCGTCTCCTCGAAGCTCCAGCAGGTCAGCGAGTCCCTGCGGGGGTATCCGAGCAACTCCTTCCTGTTGGGGGGAGGCAGGCTGGGGAGGGCACTGCTGGTTCCTTGGCACGAGGCTGAGGGTTCAGACCTCGGGTCCTGAGGAGGCAGCAGGCCTGAGCTCTCCTGAGTTTAGAGGAGAGGGCACGTCTGTAGGAGTTGGGGACCCCTTAGAAAAAATGGGGCTGGGAACTCCTCGCCTGGATTCCTGGGTCCTGGAGGTACTTAAGCGCCTGGAATCTGGGGTTTTCGCACCCTTGGGAAAGAGTATCTGGGGACTCAAATGCCCCGCCCCACACGGGCAGGGCTAGAACTCCCTGTTGGGCCCTCCCAGGCTTCGTGTTCCTGAGAGTTGACACTGAATACCTGGGCGCTAAGGTAGGGGCGGGGGCCTGAACTTCTGGTTCTAAGTCAGAGAAGGGGAACCGACACCAGGGGCCTAGGCGTCCAGCAGCCCGTGCGGGGCTGTGCAGGGCGCGGCGCCGATGGCGCACACAGGCTTACTTGGGGTAGGCTCGGAAGTCCCGGGCCGAGGTGGTCAGATAGAACTGATAGCGATCCAGGGTGCCCTGGCCCGATACTTTGAAAGGCCGGCCGGCCAGCTCGTGGTTCTGCATCCAGGGGATTAGAGCCTGAGGAGGATCGGGCAGGACGAATGACCAAGAAAGAGGTGTCACCTCCCTTTCCAAGCCTTGGGTCCCAAACTGAGAGCTCCTCTTGCTTTGCATTCGACAGCCTCTCAGGACCAGGTCTCCACACCCGCCCCCAGAATCAGAATCCCTCCAGACCAATCAGCCGCACGCCAGCGCACGTTAGCTTCGCTCCCCAACTCGGAAACTCCAAAAGCCAAACGCTTTTTGCTCGCCAACGAACGCGAAGCCTAGCCCCCAGACTCAAACCTTCCTTGCCCCGCCCCTGGAATTAAGCCGAACCTAAATCCTTCCCAGCTTCGACCCCTCCCCGAAAGCCTAGCGACCAAGTCCCAGGATATTCAAGACCCGCCCCCAAGTGCAGTCTGCTGCCTGGCTCCGCCCCCAACCTCAGAACACCTCCTAACCCGCCTCTACGTATCCTAGTTGCGCCCCCAGCCTCAGAGCTGGGATATCGAGTCTTCAGTCCCCTCCTCCTTCTGGGCCCCACCTCAAGACGTCCAAGCCCCTTCCCCAGTCTCCGTGCTCTGCTTAGTGCACCCCAGACCTTTTAGCCACACCCCTAGGCTAAAAATTCCGCCTGGCCCCGCCCCAAGGTCTCAGTCTGGTCCCCAGCTCCACAGCCCTTTCGACCCGGCCCCCCGGCGCTCCCAGCTCTGTCCCACTGCGCCCGCGGGGTCCTCCCCGCTACCTGGTAAGGGCCCCCGAGGTGGAGGCCCCCGAGGGGCTGCGGCCCGATGTAGAAGGTGGCGCTCTGGTCCAGACACGGCCAGCGGGTGTACTTGGCCCGCATCTCACTGCACTGGTGTTGTGTGATCAGCGGGAGGCCCCAGCCGCGGTATCTGAGCTGCGGGAAGGCGAAGCGGGGACCCAGCTTTAGGGTGCACGGGACTGAACTGCTCCCCTCAGCCCCGTCCACCGCAGACCTCGGCATCCCAGAACCTTACCTTTTCCCCTAAATCCTTGATCCCCACAACCTGCCTGAGGTCCGCAGCCTTTGGGGCTCTGGCCTGCGCATAGGGCCCGCCGTGGGTCTTGCGCACGTGAGCCGAGCCATAGGTTGTCTCCCATCTGTTGATGACCTCGTCAAAAGCCCAGAGGTGCAAATCCTGCTTTGCGGCTGGGGGCAGGGGCTCCGCCACCGTGGGCTGGGCAGAAAGAGCGGACGTGAGCTTAAAACACTCAGGCGTCCGGCCCTCCAGCCCTGATCTCTCCCAGGCGGCCCGGCCCTTTCCTCCCTCCAGTTCCAGGCACGCAGGTTCCCTGGCCCTTCATCTGTCAGACCCAGGACTCCGAGGCCCTCCTCCTTCAGTTAGGAGTCCAAGCCGCCCATCCCCTTTTCTTTCAGCAGGTGTCTGGGTCCCGAGGCCCCTGCTTCAGACGCAGGAGTCTGGACTTCCAGGCTCCTCTTGGCCAGGAGCTTAGGGTCCTCTCACCTGGAGAGTGGGCGGGGGAAAGGGCGCGGGTGGGATAACGTGGTGGGCGACACCACTGCTGGTGAGATGCCAGTTGGGCCAGGACCCTGGCACCTCGGTCCCAGAGATGGGGGGCCAGGGAGGGCCATAGCGCAGAGCTAGGGTCCGACCGGCCATGGGCTCTCCTCCCGCCCTGTAGCCCCGCAAGAGCAGGCTTGTTGTTGCTGTTGCCCTAGGTAACAGAACCCGCCCACGCCGAGCCCAGCCAATGGAGGGCCTGCAGGCGTGCGGACGGTGGAGTGTCCGTTCGAATCCATCGCCAGCCCAGGTACGGAGGGACAGGGACTTTGACCCAGAGGGGCAGAGACCCCAAGAGGGACACAGAAACTCAGAGAAAACCCCCCCTTGGGGGGGGCCAAGACAGACAGGAGGGCAGAAATGGGGGACTGGGGAAGGGGAAATAGAAGTTCGATTTTAGAGTTTTAGAGACGGAGACCG